TTGAGCCCAGGAGTTTGAGGTTGCTGTGAGCTAGGCTGATGCCATGGCACTCTAGCCTGGGCAACATAGTGAGACTCTGTCTCAAAAAAAAAAAAGAGATAAAACATTACTTGTACCCTAAAGGGCCCCTCTCATACCTCCTCCTAATCTTTACCTCCCCACAATGGTAACTCCTATCCTGACTTATAAGACCATAGATTGCCTGTTTTTAAATTTTGTATAGGCAGGGAGTAGTGGCTCATGCCTGTAATCCTAGCACTTTGGGAGGCTGAGACAGGAGGATCACTTGAGCCCAGGAGTTTGAGGTTGCAGTGAGCTATGATGACACCATTGTACTCTAGCCTGAACACCAAAGCAAGGCACTGTCTATAATCATTCAATCAATCACTTATATAAAAGTACAGTATGTACTCTCTTACCTCATTCTGTTTTACAGCTGCATAGTCTCATCTTGTTTGGATGTACCTTCATAGATTTATCTAATCCTTTTCTGATGGATATTTCGATGGACTCCAGTTTCTTCCTATTTATTTGTTCATTTATTGATTGCTATTATAAGCAACATTATGATGAACATCCCGTGCAGATATCTTTGTGGCCTTTTCCATTTATTTCCTTAGGATAAACTGAAATGAAATTGTTGGGTCAAAGGGCATGAATCTTAATCTTTTGATATACAAGCCATCATATCCTTGGGAATCCTGGGGATTGATTTTGCCATTTTGAAAAAAGATCTGGTCTAGAAACCAGTCACAAGTTTTTCTGTGCCACTGGCAAGTGATCAGGCTTCTTTGGGGCCTAAACAATGAAGTATTGAGATTGATTTGTGAGTGTGTATGTTTCTTTTGTAACATGATTATGATATTTACTAGCATTAAAATGATACCTTATAAGCATAAGATAACCTCAGAATGAGATAAAATTAAAATAAGATGCCATATTTTTCTTAGGAGAATGGCTAAAATAAATAAATAATCAATCAATCAACAGTGTTGAGGGGGCGGGGTAGGCAAAAAAAAAACAATGTTGAGTAGGATGTGGGCAAACAGTCTCATATACTCTCATTAGGACTGCAAATTGGTAGAACATCTTTGGCAATATAAAATGAAAAATGCACATAACCTTGGAGCCAGCAAATCTATGGCTAGAAATTTATTCTACAAGTAATAATAATGATAGGAATTAACATTTACTGAATGCTCACCAAGTGCCTAGAAATCCTTAACATGCTTTAATTTATACAATCCTATGAAACCAAGGCACATATAGACTATACACTCTCACATAACCTGGAAGGATACCCGCAAGCACCTGGAAGCAGCAATTAGCTGCCTCTAGAGGAGACATATTTTTTGTTGTATTATACTCTTTTGTACTAATTTTTGTTTTTGTTTTATGGTGTTAACTATTGGGGGAAGAATAATATGTGCACATGCTTTTTGAAAAGCCCAATACTATTTAAATTTTTATCCATGCATAGATTCCTTTTCAGTCAAACAAAACTGGTTAATTAGAAAAAATTTAAAATCCTTTGCAAATTCCTGGCTTTCCCAAAGGGAACAGGGTTCTGAGTGAGGGAGGCAGTCTTACCTGCTCGGCCCTATCAGTTCTGTGAGGTGAGAGATTATGATGAGCTGCTTGTGGTCCCCTGGCCCTTCTCCTAGCCTAAGCCTGACCTCCTGATCCCAGACCACCCTCTCCCCTCTTAGGCATCATGTGTATGGACCACCTGGAGGAGATGCTGAAGCTGGTGGACGGCAACCCCATGATGATGAAGGACGGCAAGTGGGTGGTGCAGAAGTATATCGAGCGGCCCCTGCTCATCTTTGGCACCAAGTTTGACCTGAGACAGTGGTTCCTGGTGACCGACTGGAACCCACTTACCGTGTGGTTCTACCGAGACAGCTACATCCGCTTCTCCACGCAGCCCTTCTCCCTGAAGAACCTGGACAAGTGAGCCCCACCTCACTTCCCTTGAGCGCCCAGTCTGGCTGGGGAGCTAGCAAGCAATGGCAGTGCAGGGGACTCAGGCAGCAACGCTGGGCTCCACACAGACTCTGCAGGCAGGCAGGCAGGCAGGCAGGTCCTCATCCAGCCAGCCATCCCGCCACCCTGCACATGCTTACGGAGTATGCACCTGTGCCATTCACTGTTCTAGGCACTTGGGATGTAGCAGTGAATAATACAAGATCCCCATTCTCAAGAGCTCACATTCTAGCAGGGAGAAATAGACAAGCAATGGACATGAGTAAAATTATCTAATAGGTTAAAAGGTAGTTCATGTTATGTGGAAAAAAAGGAAAGAAAACGTAGAGCAGGGTGAAGGGAGATCAGGAAAAATTGAACAGGATAAAGGCAAGATGTGGTATTAACTCAGGGGTGGTACAAGAAGCCCGGTTGAAGCCTGGGTTCAAATTGCATCTCTTCACCTTCCAAGTTGTGTGACTTTGGTCAGGTGAAAACCTGTTTAAGCCTCACTTTCCACATCTAAAGAATGGAGGCAATAGTATGAAACTCATAATTATAGCTATTAATTATTGAGTGTTTCATCTGTAATCTGCTAAGCCTTTGTGTATATTATCTCACTTGTTCTTCATAAAACACAATGAAGGCTGGGCGTGGTGGCTCACACCTATAATCCTAGCATTTTAGGAGGCCAAGGCAGGAGGTTCACTTGAGGCCAGGAGTTTGAGACTAGCCTGAGCAAGAGTGAGACCCCATTTCTACAAAAAATAGAAAAATTAGCCAGGCATGGTGGCACACACCTGTAGTCCCAGCTACTCGGGAGGCTGAGGCAGGAGGATTGCGTGAGCCCAGGAGTTTGAGGCTGCTGTGAGCTATGACACCACCACACTCTAGCCCAGTGACAGAGCCGAGACCCTGTCTCAAAAAAAAAAAAAAAAAATGAAGTGGGTACTGTCATTTACAGATATGAGGAGCACACAGGTTGATGACTTGCCTAAGATCTCACAACTAGCTGATGGTGAAGATGGGACCTAAACACGTCTTGGTGACTACAGGGCCATACTCTTACCCAGCTTCTTACCTTCCAAGCACTGGGAGGGTTAATTATGCACAAGGCACTTAATACGGTGGCCCCTGAAGTTAGTGCCCTCAGAGCAGTCCTGACAGATAAGACTGGTCCTGGCCCTAGAAGAACGTGGTGAGGCCCAGGCCTTTGTCCTTTTTGTCCCGCCGTCCAGTAGTGCCCCATCTCAAGTTAAACAGTCCAGGGTTTGCCTGTCCTGCCTGAGTTTGGGTGGGAGGGCACAGGGGCTGGACCTCAGCTTCCTGCTTTCTGCCCCAGCTCAGTGCACCTGTGCAACAACTCCATCCAGAAGCACCTGGAGAACTCGTGCCATCGGCATCCACTGCTGCCCCCAGACAACATGTGGTCCAGCCAGAGATTCCAGGTCCACCTGCAGGAGATGGGGGCCCCAAACGCTTGGTCCACCATCATTGTGCCTGGCATGAAGGCTGCTGTGATCCACGCACTTCAGACCTCCCAGGACACTGTGCAGGGTCGGAAGGCCAGCTTCGAGCTCTACGGTGCTGACTTTGTGTTTGGTGAGGACTTCCAACCCTGGCTGATCGAGATCAATGCTAGCCCCACTATGGCACCCTCCACAGCTGTCACCACCAGGCTCTGTGCTGGCGTGCAAGCTGACACCCTGCGAGTGGTCATCGACCGGAGGCTGGACCGCAACTGTGACACGGGAGCCTTTGAGCTCATCTACAAGCAGGTGAGGTGGTCAGGCCTGGGCAGGACCCCAGGAAGTCTGCCCCCTCTTCCAGGCAGCCCCATAGTAGAGCACAGTGCTCTCCAGTCAGTCCCAGTTCAAGACCTGGGTTCAAGTCCTGGTCTCACCAAGGTGATTTTATCACTTGAGCCTCAGTTTCCTCATCTATAAAATGGAGATAATATTACCATCTTTCTCATGGGGTTTGGGAGAATGAGATGAGTTAATACATGTGGATAATATTTCTAGAGAGGCATATAACATAATGTTAAGAACACAGACTCTGAATCTCCTTGAGTTCAAATCCCTGCTCAATAACTATGATCTGCATGACTTTGGACAAGTTCCTAACCTCTAGGTAGTCTCAGTTTCCTCATTTGTAAGCCAAGAATAAAAATAGGCTGGGCACAGTGGCTCACACCTGTAATCCTAGCACTCTGGGAGGCTGAGGTGGGGGAGAATTGCTTAAGGCCAGGAGTTTGAGACCAGTCTGAGCAACATAGCAAGACCCCGTCTCTACAGAAACATAGAAAAATCAGCCGGGCATCGTGGTGGACACCTGTAGTCCCAGCTACTCGGGAGGCTGAGGCAGGAGGTTCGCTTGAGCCCAGGAGTTTGAGGTTGCTGTGAGCTAGGCTGACGCCACGGCACTCTAGCCCGGGCAACAGAGCAAGACATAAGGTTGTGAGAATTAAATGAGTTGATGATATAAGTACTTTAGAATAGTGCCTGACACATAGTAAAGGCTACACAAGTTTTAGCTATGTTGTTATTACTTAATAAGGTTGTTAGGAGTTTTATGCTAAATAGCAGCACCTGAAAAGTACCTCAACATACAGTAAAAGGCAATTAGTGATGGCTGCTGTCATTATTATTATCAGTATTTTACTCATCTATTCCAAAAAGAGATTTAAGTCTACTTGTAGAATAGAACAGGATTTTTAAAAATCAGTCAGAAAACCGATCTCCAGGGGTTCTGAGCTCTGGAAATAATTTCATGTGGCAGTTTAATTAAGTGCCTTCTGTTAGAATTCGGTTTCTCTCAAGGTTTGGCTACAGGGAGAGAACATGCTAATCGCCATGACTTAAGGGGCCTTGTCTTTGTTACAGTTACTGATCATATCTTAAATTAATACACTGGCATTTTAATTTCAAAAATGCAAATGAGGAAATACAAGGACAGGAAAGTATGACAAAGCCAAAGAAAAAGGTACTGTCATAGTGCAATGGTTCCCAGATGCTGGTTCACAGGCCAGAACCACCTGGAAAGCCTTCTAAAGGTCTAGATGTCAGGGGGCCACAGCCCAGAGACTGGCCCAAAATGTCTGGCTTGGGGACTACAGTATCTGCATTTTTCAAATGTCCTTTTGTCCCCCAAATGTCTTTATTGCTGCTTTGTTCTTGTTTTTGTTTTTTAGGCCAGCAGGGAATCAAGGCTCACACCTTGCATTGGTTTTATTGGTTTTATTGTCTCTTTCATCTCTTTTAATCTAGGTCAGCCCCACTGCCTTTTCTTTCCCCATAGTTTTGATCATTTGAAGGGACCAGGGCTGGTGGTTTTGTAGAACTGTCCCACATTCTGAATTTATCTGATTGTTTCCTTGTGGTGTTATTTAACTTCGTCTTCTGTTATCTGAATGTCCCATAAACTAGAAGTTAGGTCAAACAGCTTGATGAGGTTCAGGTTAAACACATTAGGCAAGAACACTTCAGAGGTGATACCAGGTCTCTCCATTTAAGCTATACACTCCCCTTAGCAATTATTATTATTATTATTATTTTTAGAGACAGGGTCTCACTGTGTTGCCCAGGCTAGAGCACAGTGGTCTCATCATAGCTTCACTGTATCCTCCAACTCCTGGGCTAATCAGTCTTCCCACTTCAGCCTCCCACGTAGCTGGGACTATAAGCCCATGCCACCACGCCCAGCTAATTTTTAAATTTTTTTGTAGATATGGGGTTTCACTATGTTGCCAAGGCTGGTGTCGAACTCCTAGCCTCAAGCCATCCTTCTGCCTCAGCCTCCCAAGTAGCTGGGACTACAGGTGCATGCCACCATGCCCAGCTAATTTTTTCTATTTTTAGTAGAGACGGTCTCGCTCTTGTTCAGGCTGGGCTCAAACTCCTGAGCTCAGGCAGTCCTCCCACCTCGGCCTCCCAGAGTGCTAGGATTACAGGTGTGAGCCATCATAGCTCACTGCAGTCTCCAATTCCTGGGCTCAAGTGATCCTCCTACCTCAGCCTGCTGAGTGACAGCTGTGTTTTTAACAAGCCCCATGTGATTCTGATGTTTAGATATATTCTAATCAGGATCCTTTAATGACATAGAAGACACTTTGATCTAGCTGCAGGTTGTTGGCAAGGCACAGGGGCTCTCCTGGAGCCCAGCTACAAGAAGTACAGCTTGGCTTACTAGGAACAGAAAATTGTCAGGGAGTGCCTCTCCCAGACCCTTTTGTCTGCACCCTCTGCATATTTGCTACTTCATTCTCTCCACAGACTGTGTTCTTGACGGTTCTCAGTTTCTGCTCCCTCATACCTTGGTGTCATATGAGGCTCTAGGCAGTCTCCAAGCCTCTTATCTGTCTGGGTGTCATAACTCAAATTCTCTGTGCAGAGAATGTGGCTCAGTTCCAGAAGCTGTCCACCAGCAGTAGCCTGTGAAGTGGAACCACACACATTCTAACAGGGGCTGGGGTAGCTAGGAGGGCAATGGGGTGCAAGGGTGATGGTGGGGGCATGGCTAGGTAACCCCTACTCCCCTGGGTTACCAATCCCTGGGGCTCTGGGACTCTCTAGGTACTGATTCGGGTCCCCAGGGCCAGATCCCTTAGAGAACAGAGGTGGGCTTCTCATTTCTCAGCCCAGAAATATCTCGTGACAAGATGCCTCAGAAATTAATCCCATCCATCTCTGTCTTGGGTCCTGCTGGGCCAAGGATCCCGGCACCACTGTCTGAGTGGGCCTTGTCTCCTCTTCTTGCCCACAGCCTGCTGTGGAGGTGCCCCAGTATGTGGGCATCCGGCTCCTGGTAGAGGGCTCCACCATCAAGAAGCCCATGGCGATGTGTCATCGGCGGATGGGGGTCCGCCCAGCACTCCCTCATCTGCTGACCCAGCAAGGCTCTGGGGAAGGCAAGGACTCAGGGACCCCTACCCACAGGTCAGCTTCTAGGAAAGTTGCTGGGGCCAGGAGCCTGGGGCACAGTGAGAAGCCAGACTCCACTGCCGTCACCTCAGCCCCCGGAAAGGGGAAGAAAGGCAAGGCAGAAAGTGCCACAGCCCTGGTTCGCCCCAGTCTCTGGAAGTGGGACCCCCCCAGCACCAGGATGGGCTGCATTTTCACCATGACCTTTGCTAGTGGGGACAGGCTACCCCAGCCCTTGAACAGATTGCCACTGGATCCAAAGAACCCCCAGGCCCTGGGTAAGACCATTTCCCCCAAACACCCTATCATCCCAAGGCAATTTCTTCCTGCTGTCCAGGCCCCTCCCAGCCACCGGGATTTGCCACCCCACCAAAGAGCTACCAGTAGCAAGTAAAGGCCACTATTCACAAAGTATCCTTTTAAAATACAAAGCCAAGTGAGTATTGTTCTCTCCAAGTAGTCACTCTGTGAGGCAGTTATACTCATCTCAAAGAAGCCAGACTCAATCCCAGGTTAATCTCTCTCCAGAGCCCAGGCTTTTCCTGCTGCAGTATTCTGCCTTTGCCTCCAAGCAGAGTCACCTCTGGGGGAAAGGAACTGATGTTTGTACAGCACTTAACAGTTTACACTGTGCCGCTACCTACTCAGCTCCTTTAGTCCTCATAACAACCTAGCAAGGTAGGTGCTGTTATCCCCATTTTCCAGCTGAGGTATCAGGAAGTTTCAAGAAGTTGCCCGAGATTGCACAGCTCAGAAGGGGCAGAACTGGGATGCAGACCCAGGTCTGGTGGACTTCAAACCCTGTGTTCACCCCATTGCCTCTGGAGGAGGAACCGGGAGGGCTCCATCTGCCCTCCCCCTGCCCTTCCCCTTTCCCCCGCCCACCCTCTGCACACACCTTGTGGGGCAGCTGGTCGTCCTTGGGGCCTCCCCAGGCCCTGACAGCTTCCCTTACTCCCACAGCCCCTTACCACCTCCCCAGCCTCCACGCCAAGGCCCGGCTGCCTTCTCCCCACGTGCTCCGACCGCAGGGGCGGGTCTTCAGACTGCAGCACAGCAAGCTGGTGGGCTCTAAGGCCCTGTCGACCACAGGCAAGGCCTTGATGACTCTACCCATGGCCAAGGTTTTCATTTCCTTCCCTCCTAACCTCGATCTCAAGCTGGCATCCAGCATCCCGAAGCAAAGAAAGGTGGGCCTCAAACTATGACTCACACCCTAGTGGGCAGTGCTGAGCACTGGGGTCAGGGCTGGAGGACACAGGCAGAGGGGCAGCTCCCAGGCTGCCTGGCACCCCACGGGAAGGGCTTGTCTCCCTCAGAACCCCCTTCTTAGATTCTTGATCATCTCTCTCCTCCCCTCCTTTCACAACGAGGCTGTTGCTCCCCTGTGCCTTCAAGGCCTCCATCCTGGAAGTGCCTTGTTTCCTCTGTCCTTTGAAGTTGGAACTCTTCCTAGCACCCATAGGAAGGTCAAGGCCAAAGGCAAGTTCAAGGCCAGACTCTGCGACAAACCCAAGGCTGAGGCATGCCCCATGAAGAGGCTGAGCTTCCCAGAACCCCTGGCCCTTGTTGATACCTTCCAGAAGCTGGGGATATGTGGCCAAGGAAGCCCCTGCCTTGATCCCCACTGCCCCTGTCCTGGATCCAGCACCAAATAAAAAGGAGCAAGTGATGTACTCTAGGCTCGGCCCCATTGCTATGGGAGGGTGAAGTGGGGCAAGGCCCTCTACCCAAGGTCCACAGCAAGAGCGAGAGGCCATCAGCAGTTCCTACCTAGCGACAGCCCAGGGGCTTCCTGTTCAGGGTCTCCTGTAGCATCTCTCATCCCTGGATGGCCGTGGGGAGGATAAGCCTTTGCTTTACAGACGAAGAAACTTGAAAGAGGACCCAAAGATCATATAGCAGTGAGTAGGAGGCAAGGACATATTGCCAGAAATGCTGACCACTGGGAGTCCCCCCAACCCCAGAAGATGAGCGGGGCCTGGCAGCAGAATGACACCTAATGTGCACAGGAACGTTTATGCCATGAGAGGGGAAAGGGTTGACCTTGCCTGAACTCCAGCCCCTCTCCAGAGCGAGTGGGTCTGTGCCTTCCTCAGCAAGGGGCCACAGTCACCTAAAAATGAAATATCCAACAAGCCACACCCATGTGGGAAAAAGTATGGTATTTCCTGGTTGTAGTGGGTTGAATGTAGTGGGCTGAAAAGACCTGTCCACCTGGAACCTGTGAACGTGACTTTATTTAGGAAGAGAGTCTTTGCAGATGTGATTGAATTTAAGATCTTGAGATGAGGTCATCCTGGATTATGTGGGTGGGCCCCAAACACAACGGCAAGTGTGCTTTTAAGAGTCAGAAGAGAAAATACAGACCAGGAGAAGGCCGTGTGAAGACGGAGGCAGAGAATGGTATGGCGCAGCCCCAAGCCAAGAGACACCTGGAGCCACGAGAGAATCTAGAAAGCATTCTCCCCTGCAGCTTTTAGGACGAGGTGGTGCTGTCAACACCTTGGTTTTGGACTTCTGGCCTCCAGAACTAAGAATACATGTGTGTTGTTTTAAGCCACTCAGGCTGTGGTCATTTGTTGTGGCGGCCCTAGGAGACTAAGACACTAGTCAAGCTGAAGATACAAACACATACTCTGATCCAGAAACGCCTGCAGAACTGAACCAGGAACGCACATAGGCAGGTCTGGGGTAACAGCCAAATGCCCTCACTGTCCATTAGCAGTAAACGGACATTCTACTTGCTGACGAAAAGAAAAAAAAAAAAAAAGAAAGAAAGCAGTAATATGGATAAACTATGGCCTGTCAAGACTGGAATTCAAACCATGTGACACACAACACAGATGCCGCTCACAACTAGGAGCACGAGCAAATCACGAAACATACGGCATGGTTCCATTTACGGAAACCCCAAAAACAAGCGAAATGAAATACGTGTATTGTTTAGGGATGCCTATATATGTGGTTAAAAAAAGAAAAGCAAAGAATTCTCCCAAGTCAGGCCAGTAGTTTCTAACCTAGAATAGTAGAAACCCTTCGGGAACTTTTAAAAAGTTGCCATCGATGCCAGGGTCTCCACTCTAGGCTCAGTAAACCAGAATCTTTGGGGTGCAGAATCACGGGGCAGCATGGGACTTCAGTTTCCTGAAGGGGCTGGGGGAGGGGATCCTAATGTGGGGCCAGGGTTGCGAATTGCTGCTCTACAGGCAAGAGGGTGCTTCTACTTCACGCCCCGAGGGGGGTTATGTGGGTGTCACTTCACAATTACAGTCAGCACTCCTTATCCGCAGGCTCCGCATCCCCGGATTCAACCACTGCAGACCAAAAGTACTAAAAATAACAATAACAATAAAAAAACAAATTTTAAAATACAGTAGAACTATTTACATAACATTTCCATTGTATTAGGTACTATAAGGAGTCTAGAGATGATGTAAAGTCTAGGGGAGGACGTGCCCAGGCTGCACGCAAATACTACACCATTTTATATAATGACTTGAACATCCATGGATTTTGGTATCCAAGGAGGGTCCTAGAACCAATCCCCTACAAATACCGAGGGGTAGCTTTATTCTCTAAATCACAGAGATGCTTTGGGCACTATTTGTGTGTTTGATATATTTCACAATTTTTTAAAGCAAAAGATCAACACCTCCACTTATATAGTCAATTTTATAGAGACAGAAAGTAGAATGGGGGCTACTAGGGGGAAATGGGGAGTTAGTGTTTAAGGGGCACAAAGTTTCAGTTTTGCAAGACGAAGAGTTCTGGAGACGGATGGAGCTGCGTGCACGTGCAGACCGCACAACAGTGTGTGCTGCCAGGTGTGGTGGCTCCTGCCTGTAATCCCAGCGACTGGGGAGGCCGAGGTGGGGGGACTGCTTGAGGCCAGGGTTTAAGACCCGCCTGGGAAACATAGTGAGACCCCTATCTCTAAAAAAAAAAAAAAAAAAGATTATATATTCAACCCAGCAGAAAGCATGGTCCATGACAAACATTTACTTGCTTAGCAAATCCTGAAAACCATACCATGAGGTAGGAACTTTTATTATCTCACATCCAGAGAGGTGAAGTCACTTGCCCAAAGCCATACAGCAAGCAAGTGGCCTAAAGAGGAGTTGATCTTAGGTGTGTTTGGCCACAGAGCCCAGGACCTTAAACCACGGCCTTATTGCATGTAGAGCACTGACCTCATTCTCCTTGGGCCCGGCTGCAGCACCCCTTGCCTTTCAGTGGGGGGTCCGGAACAGAGGGGGACTATTGTTGGTGGAGCCCCAGGCACTGTAGGGTCCTGGAGAAATAAGGGGGCAGAGGTGCCAGGAGCTCGACAGGGGTGTCCCTGGGCCTGGTGCCTGGGAGGAGCAGACGATGCAGGTGGAGGTGCAAGGGCAGCTGGGCAGCCTGGGAGGGGGTGAGGTGGAGGCGTCTGAGGAGAGCTTCAGCCAGGACCTGGAGTGGGAGAGGCGGTCGGTGTTGAGCCACATAAATTCCGACCCGCTGAGTACCCAGCTCCAACGGGAATGGGAGTAAGGCAATTCCTCTCTCTCCAGTCTGCAGTTGTTAGTCATTTCCTTTCTACACACACACACCAGCACCCACGGTGTGGCAGAGACTGGCTGGGGGTTCACCAAATCAGTTTCCTCCTGGGCGCACAGCTGAACTACATTTGCCAGCCCCTCCTGCCGTTTGGTGAGGCCACGTAACTGAGCCGATGGAGTGGGGGTGTGTGCATGCCACTTGCAGACCCGGCCCGCAAAAACCTCATCCACGTGAACCTACGCCATCTCCCCTCACCTGGCTAGACAGCAACCACCTGGATCCGACTGACTGCTTGGGGCAGAGCCCACTCCCAGCCACCTCCCATTAACTGAACTTAACGTGGGGGAGAAGTTACTGTGCTAAGACGCCGGCACTGTGGGTTACCGTTAGCGCAGACAGAGGGACGCAAATACACATGCAAGCTCTTTCATCCCTTGCACCAAACAGACTTAAGGAATGGCAGACTTGGAAGGGCTTTTAGAAATCAGCCACTTCGACTCCCTTATTGAACAGATGGGCAGAATGAGGCCCAAGAAAGGGGTGTCAGTTGCCCAAGGCCACACAGCAAGGTAGGGGCACAGCCAGCCTGGGAAGCCAAGAGGGCTGCCTCCCAGTCCCGGGCTGCATAGCTGGGTTTGGAGATGCTCCCCCAACCAAGGCAGCAGGCAGGGGGCCTTGAGTACCTGTTTTTGGGGTTTGGTGCTCTCAGCTGGCAGCAGAAAGCGCTGGCCCAGGACAGTGCCCACGCGAGCAGCGTACGTGTGGTCCCCGAGCACAGGACAGAGCTGTAGCACCATGTGCACTTGCAGTTGACTGGGGAACACTGGGCGACAGGAGAGACAAGATGGACGGTGCGCAGCTGCCGTCTCGCCCAGCACCGTCCCTCCCCCTTTCCTTTGGGGAAACACCACCTCCATTCTCAAATCATGTGCTTTCAGTGAGGGTGCTACAGCCGCTGCCTCCAGAGAGGGGCAGAAGACCAGGTCAGGACAATCAAAACTGCCACCCACCTGGCCTGTGGGATTTGCTCATGATGAGATGCAACCCTGAACTAACTGCTGAGGCTACTGGGAGTAAGGACTGCTCTTTTCTGCGGGAGTGCTAAACTCGTGGGGTGCAAGCCTGAAGCTGCCTCCGCCAGCTGGGCCTGGTCACATACACCCATGGGGCCCATCGAATGTTCCCTAGGCTGCTGCTGAGGAGCACCACTGTCCTCCCACCCCCTGGCGTCCCCAAGCCAAGTCCTGCTCTGAAGGCTGGCTGGGAGTCCAGACCCACCTGTCACTGGCTGCAGCTGGACCAGGGCACAGCCAGAGCCCGTGGCCACCACACGGAAGTGGCTGAGGGTCTTCTTGACACCTTCTAGGATGTCCTTTCGGGAGGGGTCCTTCACTGGAACTACCTGTGGTGCCAGCCAAGAATGCACAAGCTTCACACACACCTGGGAACCGTACCCAGATCGTCCCTGCTGCCAAAAGATTCAGGACAGGGCCCCAGCACAGGCAGTGGTCCTTCGCCTGTTTTAGGGGACAGGAGAGCCAGCCACCCCAAGTCCACACCCCTGACTCCTCCATAGGAGTAACATATCCAGAAGGACCCCTCCTCTTTCCGGCTCAAATGCTGACTCACAAGATTGACTGCATCAGCGTGTTCCAGTTTCAAAGCTGCTTGGATCTTCCCCTCAGAAACAGCTGGGATCCCATCGGTGACAGCACTGAAAAGAGGGCAAGAGGAGGTCAGAGAGTGGCTTGCTGGGACCTCCCCACTGTCCTAGGAACCTCCCAGCACCTCTCACCAGTAGGTGGCTGTGGGTCTCTGGGCTCTCCGTGAGTGGGTGAAGAACTTCTGGAGGCGACTTGCTGTCTGGGGACAACTGGAAAGGAGTACAAGCCCAGAGGTCTCCCTGGAGGAAGGGGACAAATTACACAAGTTAAAGTCCCTTGGGCTCACACACAAAAAAGGAGACTCCTATGAAGGAACACTGACCTATTTAAGGCCAAACAGTAACACCAGGACTATAACCCAGACCACCTCCTCAGAAACAAGTAAGGCTTCCCCTTGTTTGATAACAGGACTATTTAGCTTGATGTGTTTCTTATCTTGCCCTGGCTGCCAGGAAGCTCAGAGCCAAATGTCATAACAATTGCCACCAATTGCTGATTGTCCACCATATGCCAGGCACTCTACTAGGAATTTTAAGTTTGACTAGGAACTTAAATAATTAAGCTCCCCACAAACAAGCTCACAAGTTTGTGGAACTGCAGAAATACTTCATCTTAAGTACCATCTCTAATTGATAGCAGTTAAAGGAAAGAATACCAAGGATTGACTACCAAGGCCAGTCTTGAGTATGAGCTTGGAGAAGTGACTGCACACTGAGCATAGGAATTATTTTTTCTATTTTACGATTAAGGGAACTGAGGCTCCCCTTCATGCTTTGCCTAATATCACACAGTTCGTACACAAGATTTGAACTCAGTTCCATTGGCTTCCTCCTTTTCAGAGTCCTTGTATCCTACCTGTATGATCTCAAACCTTCCCATGGAAAATGTCTCAGCTTATTCCTGAGAAGCTGTCCCCCCACCCCAAATAGATACCTGTCCTCCTACCTTCCTATCACCCCCACCACTTACTTCCCAGGTGCTCGGACAACCTGGAGCTCCTGCTTCCCAAGCCCCAGGGACTGGCTCAGCTCTGGCAGCACTGAGAGCAATGTTAGCTCCTCTGGTTTTCCTGGAAAATAAGAAGGAAGATCTAGGTGCAGTGGCTTAATGCCTGTAGTCCCAGCTACTCGGGAGGCTGAGGCAGGAGTTTGAGACCAGCCTGGGCAAAATAGTGAGCCCCCCCCCACCCAATGTCTAAAAACATTTTTTTAATTAGCTGGGTGTGGCAGCATGCACCTGTAGTCCAGCTACTAGGGAGGCTGAGGTAGAAGGATGGCTTGAGCCCAAGAGTTAAGAAAGAGAGGGAGGGAGGGAAGACAGGCAAGAAGGACAGACAGGGAGAAGGAGAGGGAGAGAGATGGGGGAGGAGAAGGGGCAAGGAAAGGAAGAGAGAGAAAAAGAAAAACAGAAAAAGAAAGAAGAAAGAAAAAGAAAAGAAAGGAAGATAGGTAGGTAGAAATTGCTCCCAGAGGCCAAAGCTTCATCCCTGTATTCCCTTCTCTTCACTACTCCCCCCCTCACCGACATCAAACCCCCTTTCACTGCATTCCCTTTCCACATGCCCTGCCCATACCTGTCACTGGCAGACCCTGTGGCTTATTCAGCGTCACTAGAGGTCCTGAAACATACATTACATGAACATCAGCAGCAGCACAAGCATCAGTAAACCTTTATGCAGCACTGAGAGTTTACAAAGCACTTTCTCATTCATCTTAGCCCATGGCCCATGACAACTCTCAGGCTTGAGTTACCAGCTCCCCCCAAACTGAAATTCTTTCTGTTCCTCACATATGCCAAACTCACTGCCACCTCAGGGCCTTTGCACTTGCTGCTTTCTCTGTCCCAAATTTTCACGAGCTGGGTGTGGTGGCTCATGCCTATAATCCCAGCTCTTTGGGAGGTCAAGGTAGGAGGATCGCTTGAGGCCAGGACTTCGAGACTGGCCCGAGTAACATAGCAAGACCCCTCTCTACAAAAAACAAAAAAATTAGCCGGGCGTGGTGTCACGCCTGTAGTCCCAGCTACTCGGGAGCTGAGGGAGGAGGATGACTTGAGCCCAGGAGTTTGAGGTTGCAGTGAGCTATGAGGATGCCAGTGCACCCTAACCTAAGCAACAGAATGAGACCTTGTGTCAAACAAAACAAAACAAAACCAACAAATTTTCAAGAGCCTGTCTCCTTCACATCATCCTGGTGCGAATGTCATGCCATAGAGACCTGAATCTCCAATCTGCTGCTTTCTACAGTTCGTACTATCATAACTCTCTGTTTTAGTTTATTCATAGCACTGATCACTAGTCACTTGTTCATTTATTTTCTGATTAACCCATTTCTCCCACTAGAATGTTGGCTCCCTGAGGACAGGAACCATATTTACCTTTTTTAGCATTGAAGATTGCCTAGAACAGTGCCTAGGACATAGCGTATGTTGAATAAACAGTTGAGAAAATGAATACATCACTGAATAGAGACTAAGGTTCAGAGAAATTATTTTCCTAAAAGCCTACAGCAAGCTAAATTACAGAGCCTAGATATGTCTGACTGCAAAGCCTATGCTTTGTCCGTCAGTAAACAATAATTTACTGCTATAGCAATTCCCATTACTGAGCACCTGCTATGCGCACGCTCTCTAGTCATTTGCACCCTCCCCCCACCACAACCCTATCGCCATGATGCTGGGACACGTCCTGTGTGGCTCATCCCAGCTCACGCTGCTTGCTAGCGGCAGGCAGAACCAGGATTTGATACCAAGGGCTTTAATGGAGAGCCCAGCCAACGTTCCGGCGGCAGACTACCCTCCCCGGCCTCTGTGGCTGTCTCTAGCAACCCTCACCTTTCTGGTCCACCACGGCTGCCCTCAGCACCTCAACCAACTCCTCCCGACTGAGGTTCTTTGGCTGCAGCAGCCGCAGGAAGGGCTGGTCCCCGAGGGGCCCCAGCCGTTTGCTGGAGCCTCTAGGTTGCAGCTGATGCCTACAAAAAGTGGGCAGAGCAACAAAGGAATCATTCGTTTCCCGTGGCGCTGTCTATTCCTTTCTCCGCACACCTTTCACAAACCTGCCGCCTCTTACAAATGCCTCCGAATGTCCGGGCTGAGCTTCTCCAAAACTCAGTTACAACTGGCCCCACTTTACAGCGGAGGGAACTGAGACTCAGAGAGGCCAAGGGACTAGTTTAGGGTCACACAGCAGAGCTGGGCTAAGAACCTCTACCCAATCCAGATCCCGCACACCCCCTGCCCTAGCTTCCCTCCTACAGGAAGGAGAAGGTGTTTAATCACCGGGCCCTGGTGACAAAGCCTGCGTCCTTGGCCGCTGCGCAGACCCTCAGCCCCCGCCGCCAGCCACCCCAAAGCCGGCCCCAAACGCCGCGGCCATCCATCTCCCCAGCGTGGACAGCGCGCATGTGTGTTCGAAAGGGCAGCCCTCGTGCTCCACTTCGAAACGCTGATTGGTTAGATTGCCTGTCAATCTAAATGGCGAACAGGCGGGACTCAGAGCCGTGAGAAGGCGGAGCTTTGCCCCCGCCAGGAAGGAGATGCGT